TCGAAATTGTCGGTATTTTGTTGTGCAAAGTAAGATTTCGGTGAAAAATTGCAAAATTGCGGAATTACGTGGATAGCCTATCGTATTGAGCTCGCGTATGAACAGGTTAGAATCGAAACAATGGGAAAAGAATTTGTTATCGAAAAACTCCGCGGCTCGGAAAACTTACATGGCAATTTGCAATGAAAAGTGTTCTGGAATTTGAGGAACTCGATGGCACGATTGCAGAGGCAAACACTGAAACCGACCCAACAAAAGTAAAAAAAGCGAGAGCTCGGATTATCGTTTCGGTGGAGGAGTCATTTTACGTGCACATCCAAAATCACACGACGGCGATTGGCATCTGGACGGCGTTGAAGCATCTGTTCGACGACAAAGGTCTCACACGGAAAATAACGCTGCTGAGGCATCTCATCACCGTGCGCCGCGATGAATGTAACTCAATGACGGAGTACATATATCGGAGATTTCATCGACGGCGAATAAATTGGTTGGCATCGGATTCGCGATCACGGACGAGTGGATCGGAGCGATTATGCTGGCTGGACTCGGTGAGGAGTATCGTACGCTCATTCTCGGATTGGAAAATAGCAGTGTGGCACTGACTGCCGATAGTGTGAAGACGAAATTGCTCGATGTGGACAGAGGGCGTCAAGGTGGGTCATCGTCAGCATTCCTAGGTTATCCGAAAGCTGGCGCAAGCGGTGGAAAGAAATCGGATAAAAAGAAATTCGGTTTTAAATGCTACAACTGTGGCAAGGTCGGTCACAAGCGGTCTGAATGCAAATCGAAACCGAGAGCTCAATCGGAGAACACGAAGTTGACGGATCAATCGGAGGATGCGAAGCTGACGAATGCATTCATGGCAAACGATCGAGTGGTGACCAGCACGAACTGGTACCTGGACAGCGAGGCGTCGAGACACATGACGACGAAACATCCTACAGAATTTTCAGCCAGGAAATTTCCCAGAAATTTCGACCGCCAACAACCAGAAGTTGAAAGTGCTTGGTAGCGGCATGGTGCTAGTGTCAATCGATGGTGTGGACATTCAAATGAAGGAGGTGCTCTACGTGCCGCAATTGGCGGCAAATTTGCTGTCAGTGGCGAAAATCACAGCGGCTGGAAACAAGGTACAGTTCGATGGAACGGATTGCCGGATTTACAACCCGAGAGGTCAGAGGTTACTGCAAGCGCGTGCACGGAATGGTGTGT